CAATTTCATTTGTGTTTATTTAAACACAATGTTGTGTTGTGAAGTCACAAGGTTATTTGTGTTTATTTAATTACTGTTGTGTCGCGAAGTCACAAGTTTATTTGTGTTTACTTAAACATATTGTTGTGTTATGAAGTCACAATTTCATTTGTGTTTATTTAAACACAATGTTGTGTTGTGAAGTCACAAGTTTATTTGTGTTTATTTAATTACTGTTGTGTCGCGAAGTCACAAGTTTATTTGTGTTTATTTAAATACTGTCGTTTCGTGAAGTCACAGGTTTATTTGCGTTTACTTAAACATAATGTTGTGTCGTGAAGTCACAATTTCATTTGTGTTTATTTAAACACAATGTTGTGTTGTGAAGTCACAGGTTCATGTTTGAACTGATTAAAGTAGCACATGGTGGAAGCGAATTCCACTTTCTCTGTGGTCATTTTTAAAATATTGTTTTTATACAGTATTTAACTCTTATGTTATGAAATGTTTAATTTACTAACATTATATTTTGTATATATATATATTGTGTAAAGTTCAACACAAAGAATGTGTAGCAGCCAATACATTTGTTAGCCCATAGTAATTGTGTTGTAGCCATTCAAACACGAGAATTGTGTTCTGTGGAACAAAAATCGTGTTGTTTTCTCAACACAAAGTTTTTTTGTTTTTGTTGTTGTTGTTGTTGGTTTTTTGGGTTTTTTTGCAATGACAACTTCGACAACTTGACGCACGAGCTGTAACCCTAAGAAAACGCTCAATAATAGCTTACAAATGAACTCCCCTTTTATCACACAGGCCCTACCAGTAGGAGTTTGTCAACCACTACTTGGTAGTCATATTAAAAATACTTTCCAATATGCATATAAACGAATTACACCAAATGTATCAATAAAACAAGTAAGTGTTATTATGTTCGTTCAATTCTGATGCAAGACAGTGGGTTCAAATACCTTAATGTCTTAAGTACAAATCCTCCAGACTTTTCAGTATATATTTGATATATAAATACGAATTTTTATGTCGCTTTGCTTGCTGCAGTTAAGTGAGTGTATCTGCTTTAAAATACATCTCAGCAACCCAAGCTATTTAACATAAATTGGGTTGCTTCCGCTGACGACCTAGCCCCCTAGCGCTACTCAAGTGCTAAATGTCGTTATATTTTTATTCTTCTTTATTTTATATTCCTGTGTCTATTTCAATGGAAGTTAAGACGTCATTAGTTTTATACACCAACGTTGGTTTTGTTTTCATTACTCCAGCAAAAAAAAACAAACAAAGTCCCATAATTTGTGAAGAAAAAATGAGTAATCTCTAAAAGTCATGAACGACACGTGCTTTTTTTCATGTAAAGTATAAATAAGATTAGTTAGTTCAGCTTTTCACGGTAACATATCAGAAATAGAAGATACAGAAATTATTGACAACTTATTCCAACGCTTTGAAAAGGCCCGGCATGGCCAGGTGGTTAAGGCACTCGACTCGTAATCTGAGGGTCGCGGGTTCGAATCCCTCTCACACCAAACATGCTCGCCCTTTCAGCCATGGGGGCGTTATAAAGTGACGGTCAATCCCACTATTCGTTGGTAAAAGAGTAGCCCAAGAGTTGGCGGTGGGTGGTGATGACTAGCTGTCTTCCCTCTAGTCTTACACTGCTAAATTAGGGACGGCTAGCGCAGATAGCCTTCGTGTATCTTTGCGCGAAAATTCAAAACAAACCCTTTGAAAATTTTAATCTAACCAAGAGCAACTCATAATAATTATTTATCATGCCTATCCACTTGCTTGGTGGTCGTTATATAAATTTGTATATAATATTTATGAAAGGGTTGTATTTTAAGTAGGAGGACATTACAGACTTTAACGGCATTGTTATTTAATTATCTTTACGCAAGATAGGTATACGCATATCAGTAAGACAATTGTAAACATTATTTGGGGGTGACACAAGTCAAAACATTTTAGTCCTATTTATAAACGACAATAAAACTCCCAGGAGGAAGCTGATTATGATATGAAATATTTACTTTTCACAAAGAATCGTGCACGTGAGCTGGAGTAGAAATTGTGAAGCCTGAAATCTCACTCTCTTGGTGTAGCATAAAGATATGTATTTGTATAACGCCGAAAGAAGAAGCACAAAGGTATTTAGTATTTTCTATAGCTTGTGATTCCACACGTTTCTTGGGAATTCTTTATAATAAAATACTACTCGGTATCAATAGAGCATTACAGTAAGACTTTTTTCTGTACTCTCCACTTATTAAATTAAAACAACTAATATGAGACTCGAGTTACAGCTGTGGCAGTCCCAAAGGTTTTCACACTAGCAACAGCTTAAAAACATTATTAGATTAGCAACAACTTGTCTGTTGGAAGCAAGATAATAAAGCCACAGATTATTAGTTTAGCAACGACTTGTCTGTTGGAAGCAAGATAATAAAGCCATAGATTATTAGTTTAGTAACGACTCATCTTTTGGAAGCGAGATAATAAAGCCACAGATTATTAGTTTAGCAACAACTTGTCTGTTGGAAGCAAGATAATAAAGCCATAGATGATTAGTTTAGTAACGACTCATCTTTTGGAAACGAGGTAATAAAGCCATAGATGATTAGTTTAGCAACAACTTATCTGTTGGAAGCAAGATAATAAAGCCACAGATGATTAGTTTAGCAACAACTTGTCTGTTGGAAGCAAGATAATAAAGCCACAGATGATTAGTTTAGCAACGACTCGTCTTTTGGAAACGAGATAATAAAGCCACAGATGATTAGTTTAGCAACGACTCGTCTTTTGGAAACGAGATAATAAAGCCACAGGAGAGGAGTTTAT